AAGGAAGGAAGGAAGGAAGGAAGGAAGGAAGGAAGGAAGGAAGGAAGGAAGGAAGGAAGGAAGGAAGGAATAAGGAGACAGACAGAGGAGCAAGGAAGGCAGCTGGCTGGGAGTGGGCAGGCATGGCTGGGTGTCAGAGAAAGGAAGGCTGCCTTAGCATGGGGTGGGGGGAGCGTGGTACCAACAGCAAGTTTCTGCCTCTAGTAGGCTGGCTGGAGGCAGGAAGTATTTGACAGATGAGATGGCCCATGGAGCAATGATCTGGATCAGAGCTGCTCTGCCGAAGGGAGCCAGGTGGCTGCCCAGCTTCCCTAGAGGAAGAATGCAGACCCTCCTCCTTCAGATATGCTAATGAGCAGTGGACATGATGCTGGCAGTGCCTCAGATCGGTGGTGTTGGCTCTTATTTGGCTTTCTGGAGGAATGCCCTTGTGTGACATGGCAATGTGACACTATGTATGTAAAGGGGGCTGAGCACTGGGTAAGGGCCACTTCCTTGACCATCTTTTTCAAGGAAGTCTTCAAGTCTAGACATAAGAGTGGGAACAATAGACATCCAGTCATGACCCTATGGTATTGGTCAGAAACATGACCTTAGAAGAAAGTACAAGATTACAAGGCTTTTCCATACAAAGTCAGTCCTGGGCCACTGAGAGGCTCAACAGGAAAGGCACTTGCTGCTAAGCCTGGTGACCTGAGTTTGATCCCTTGAACCCACAGTGGAAGGAGAGACCCAATCCCCAAGAGTTGTCCTCTGATCTCCACCCGTGAACTGTGGTATACGTGTATCTGTACTCACACATCATACACACACATGCATGTGCAAGAGCGCATGTGTGCACACAATTTAAAGTTAATGCTTTGTGAGCCGACAAGTAATTTTTCAAGTTTGCCCTCCTGCATTTTTCAAACATTTTGCAGTTGGCAGGTGGTCCTTAGGGGAGGGGACGTGGGTGCTGTTACTTTAAAAGTCACCTCTTGAATAGAGTCACCTCCTCGGTACCTTCCATGAAGGGAGAACGGTTTCCTCTGAGCAGAGAGGGAAGTGTGTCCTCGAAGCTCAAGCGTGCCATCCACCTGGAGCGGCAGGGCAAGGACACAGGCTCAGCCTCCAAGTCTGGGGTCCTCATGGAGGTTCTCATGCTGCCCCAGAGCACCCTCCCTTGTCTGTCTCCAGGCTGATTGACACATGACCTCATGATGACAGGCATTGGTTCCCAGGATCCCAGAAGCCAACCCTTGTTTCCTCCTTCATTGACAGCAGTTGAGGAAATTTGATCTTCCCAAATAGGGGCCTGGAAGGGCATTGGGCTAGATGGAGGCCCACATGCTGCACAAGACAGTAGCCTACTACTCCCACGAAGGTAGAGATTGCCTTCCCCAGCGTGTGTGTGTGTGTGTGTGTGTGTGTGTGTGTGTGTGTGTGTGTGTGTGTGTCCGTCCGTGTGTCCCTTCTGGGTGTGAGGGCATACAAGCTACCAGGAAGCCTTGTGTAGCCTGGGCTCTTGCTCTGTGAATATTGCAGGATTGGGAGGAAGCAGGAGATGGGTAGGTCTGAACGTCTTCAGCTGATGTGGCACGCAGTGTCCACATTAACCCGGACCCCACAGCTCAGGCTGTTTAGTCTGTGCACCTTTCCTGGACGAGGGCGCCAGGTTAAAGCCAGCCATGGGGCCAGCAGGTGCCCAGAAGGAAGGGGAAGCAGCAAAGCTGGGCCACTTTGCTGGCATCCCTAGGCTTCTGACAGGGTGGTATTCTCACTCTTCCCTTTAAACAAAGAAGGAAAGCAGGGCACAGGCAGACATTTCTACCGTTACTCATTCTACTCTGTTTGGGCGTTTTATTGAAACTTTGCATCTGAAAACTTGGCAAGGGCCCAGGAAGGGATACTGTATACATAGTTCCCCGTGGTGTTTATCCTTCTGCTGTGGCTGGGATTCGCGCGGCATTTAGAGACTCTTCCCATTGGGACTGATGCCCATAAAGTGGACTTGCAGGCAGAAGCTGGAAGACTCTTCGCTTGGACAGTATCAGGATCAGACATTCCAAGGAGGCTGCAGCTCTGTTCAGAAGCCCACCATGTGAACCAAGCTGGTCCCCCATTTGCTGTCTGCTGGCTGGCTTTCTCCTTTTTTGGCCGACTTCCTGCCTCCCTCTCTTCTGTTGCAGCCGGCGGTGAGGAAATAGATATCTGCCCTCTGTCATAGCTGTGATGGCTGAGGATTAGCAGTGTGCACAGTGTGGCTGTGCCCTGTCCCTCTCATTTCCAGTCATAGCTAAGGGCCTTCCATGGGACCTTTTCTTCACTGGCATCCCGGGATGACAGCTGGGTGCTCCGTGCTCAGCCTGGACTGTGTGGCATCCGCTGTCCCTCCCTTCTCCAGAGTCCTTGACATTCTCAAACTGACTTCTGACCTCAGCGTTGGCAAAGGCATTAACTTGAACCCAGCATCAGTGTTCTTTTTTTTTGGGGGGGGGGTTCAAAACAGGGTTTCTCTGTGTAGCTTTGTGCCTTTCCTGGAACTCGCTTTGGAGACCAGGCTGGCCTCGAACTCACAGAGATCCTCCTGGCTCTGCCTCCCGAGTGCTGGGATTAAAGGCGTGCGCCACCACCGCCCAACTCAGTGTTCTTTTTTATTTGGGGTTTTTGTTGATATTGTTTAATGTTTTATTACATTTGTGTGTATATGTGTGTGTGTGTGTACACGTATACACATGGATACCACACCATGTTCGTGGAGACCGAAGAGCAGCTTTCAGGAGTCGGTTCTCCTTCTACTGTGTGGGTCCCAGGGATCAGAATCAGGCTATCAAGATTGGCAGCAAGCGCCTTTACCAGCTGAGCTGTCTCTCTGGCCTGGTGTCAGCATCCTTGGTGTGGAGATCGGACACTGGCTTTTATGGACCTGACAACTGACTGTGTCTCCCAAGGTTTGTGAGTTTTCATGGCATACCTGCCTTCCTTTTTGTTCCAGGCTTCCCAGACCGGGGATGCTATGGGGCCTGTTCTTCCTCTTGAGGGTCAGGCCAGTGTCTGCACTAGGTTGTCCATGTCACCGTGACCAGCAGCTCCCCCCACATCCGGTGAACTACACTTGGCTCGTTCCCCAGTCTCATCAAACTCCTGGCATCTCATTTAGCTGGAAACCTAGATTGCCTAGACAGCTGTTGTCTGCAAGGCACCGTGGGCTCAGGCCTTCTCCGGCTCCCTTGCTCCTGGCCTTATGGCTGAAATCACCCTTGACGGAGATGAACTCGAAGGCAGCTCTCATTTCTCCAGCAGGAAGTCCACTGAGAACCCGAGGAGCAGAAGGAGGACGCTGTGACATCCCCCTTGGAGCAGCAGTTGAAAATGTGTGCTCGAGGCCACCAGGGGCTTGTACACTTGGCTCCCCCACTGAGCAACTGGCAGAGTGCCCCACCCCAGAAGAATGCCAGAGCCAGTGTCTCCCAGAATCCCCTGCTTTCCAGTGGCCTCGACACATACCTCTTAGCGGGTGCTGCCAGTGTGTAAAACACTCAGGCTTCCTTTGCCAGAGTGCTGTCCCTTTGCCTGCATCAAGAAAGCATCCTTGTGACAAGCACCTGGGACAGAACTGGTAGGGCCTGTACACACAGGAAAGTGTTTCAGAGCAGTTAACGCGCCCTGACCACAGGAACAATGTCTCTTTCTCTTCCACATTTAAATGACTTCAAATCTATATAATTTGTAAATGGCCTGGACAGGCTCAGAGTGTGACAGCAGCTTGGCGCAAGGGAAAATCTTGGTTTTGGAGCATTCTGTTCCTGGCAGATGGCAGTGTGATGTCCTTTTCAAAAAAGTGGTAGAGCAGAGAGGGCTGGCCGAGAAGATTGGACCCACGATGTTATCTGAATATTTACTCTATGGTTTCATTTCCTGGAATCCAAGTTGGCCATCTTTGGGCTATTCTCTAAATAAAAAGCACAAAAATGAATAGAGGGTGGAACACCCTACCTCACACCCAGTTTCAAGTGACCAGGAACTCAGAAGGTGACTAAGTCCAACCAAGCCTTCTCAAGTTTCTTCCAAAGCACTACAGCTGCTCGCAATACACCACACAACTAACTAGCCTGTTTTGTTTTCCAAAGACCCAGGTCCTGAGGTCCAGGAGACCTGCCAGAGCTGCTCTCCCTGCCAGCAGCCTGGTTCTGACAGGATGCAGGACAGCACACCCGGGTTCTAGTTAAAACCATGTTACTGACCTGAACACACACATGCACTCCCAGGACAAAGGCAGCCCACACAGTCTGAAGAAGGCTTCTTGGGACCCTTCCTGGGTATTTCCTTCCCAGAACTCCCCGGTCCTGGGCCCCTTTCTGTTGTCTTCCCACCCTCTCAGGTATCCCCCTCGGTGTCAGAAAAACACAAGATGAGGCGGAAACACTGTGTAACTAGACCCAAAGACGCAGGTGCCCACGGGTAATTCTGTCTACCCCTTGCAGCTGGAGCCCCAGCAGGAGCCTCAGGCGGGCATGGCTGACCCCTGGGTTCTCCCCTTACCTGGCCAGGATCCTTACCTTGGTTTCCCACTCTGTCAAATAACAAGGGACAAGGGCAAATACTAGTTAGTTGTGGGTTTAAGACACCATGTAGTGTGTCTGTGGGAAGCATTGGAGACAACAAGCTGCTCTGATGATGTCATGAGTAGTTTTTTTTTTCCTTCCCATGATGTCTCATGACAAGGACTCTAAAAATACAATTGTCCTTAATGTTCCTATGTGCTTCGTGGCATCCCGGTAAAGCAAAGGTGAGTCTAGCATTGCCACTGAGCCCAGCTTGCCAAGGGGCCCCTGCTGAGGAAGGCCGCTGTGCTGCCAGCTGGTACTACCCTAACCTGACTACCCCCACCCCACAGGTCCTCACAGGCCCAGCAGCTCTCCTTTCTGCACCAGGGTCTCCTGAGCAACCTCTACCTGCACGCCTCTGACTACCCTCGACCTCTGCTGCAGTGGCTGTTCCAGGTGAGAGACACAGACCCGCCGCTAGGTGGCGGGAACGATGCAGCCCTCTGGCCCCGCCAGGCCCCAAGGCCAGATTGGCTGGCCGCTTAGCTTCTTTTTGCTTTGGACACTTCAGATCCAGGTGACAGAGGAGGGTGGCTAAGGATTAATCCTCACTGTAATGCTGAAGAGGCCAAGGTCCAGGGACTCAACTAGTCCCAGAGATGGAGTCTGTCTGGACGTCTCTGTTCAGTACCCCCAGACTGTGTGCCTCTAGGGTATTCCTGTAGGGGTCTGTCTTTCCTGAGGTGCCCAGCGTTGTTCCTAATAGGCTTAGAACTGAGTGACTTGGTCCATTCTAGTCAACAAGAGTGTCCATCATAAACACCATCTCCCCTGCTTTCCCCCCCCCAATCCTGCTATCACAACCATGAATGGCTCATCCCAGGGGCACAGCTGGAGGGGGCACCCAAGGCCTGTCTGCAGCTCTGGAGGTCAGAGCTCATGAGTTCATTGCTACAGACTCTCTGGAGTTTAAGGGTTTGCTACTCTCTGAAGCTGTAGGTGGTCTGGAAGAGCCTAGAACAGTTCCTTCTGCCCCAGTTTCCTCCCTGGAGGAACATTTGCCTTGAGGCAACACACATTCTGTGTGAGGATGTAAACCTCTGGTAGGTGAAAGGCTAGCAGACGGCCCGGGACCTAATGCTGCCCTCCAAATGTCCTGCGCTTGCCTTGCCTTGGCCGCCGCCCAGGCCTGTCCCTGTCTGGGGATGGGCTGGTCACAAGTTACAGCGGGTACCAGAGCTGCCAGTTGAGGCCTGGAGCCCAGCTGCCAATCAGGGCTGCCATGCAGGGTGGAGTGTTAAGGCTCTTCCCAAGCTTAGCGGGCTGGCTGCCTTCCAGATGGAGCTCACTCTGCAGCCTCTGGGGACCCTTGTGGTGCCCCTGTCCTGGAGGGGAAGGACGCTGGACTCCTGGGACCCTTATGCATAGCTGTCACCCTGCTCTCTGTCTCTCCCAGTCCCTGGGGTGGGGAGATTGGGCCTGCAGGGCCGGTAGGAGCTGGGAACAGTCAGGCCATTATTCTGCACCCGCAGCCGTTTCTCCTGCTCCATGCACAGTGGATGACAAATACACAATCGGCCATTGGGAGGCACAAAGAACCCCTCTAAGACATCGCCCACAGAGGGTCCTTGTGTGACCCTGACAGGCGAGGAGTGCCCTCCCTTTTCATGGCTCAGTCTCCACTAGGTTCCGGAATTCAGGCCATGGACTGGTGGAGAAACCTCCCTATCTTTTGTGCCATCTCCATAGCACCAAGAGGGGTGCCAGGGGAGAGGACGAGACCTAGCCCCAGGTGGAAGCTCAGGCTGCCGCTTTGGGCAAGTCCTTGGTGGTGTCAGCTTTGTGTGATGGAGCCAGCAGTCCAGTGTGGGTTAAATGAGAAAGTCCTGTCTGTCTGGTTGCATGTCTCTCCTGCAGATCCCCAGCTCTGCTTAGGGCCTGGGCAAGGAACAGCAAGGGCATGGATCTGCTTCCTGCCTCTGTCAGGCTCCGTCTCCCTAAAGCCACTGACTGCAGGGCCTTCTCACAGGGAGTCAGACAAGGCTAGGCCTCAGGCCGAAGGAAACCAGGGACAGGGAGGGATGGGCACTCGGGGCAGGCTTCTGAATGGGAAACTAGCTGACCTGTCCAGGCACATTTAACTCAATTGGGCAGGTCACAGGTTATCCATTCTAACACGAGGAGTGACCAGCAGAACTTACCACCTCTGCTCAGTTGACCACTCCTTTGGAAAAGATGTCCTATTGTTGCTGGGACTTGGTAGGTCCTGGGCTTGTCTCTTCCCTGCTCCCAGGGCCTCTTGAGGTACACTGTACACACCAGGTAAACAGCCCAGGCCTCAGCACTCCGGACTTACATGCACCCCTCACCATGGTCACAGAGGCACCTATTGATGGGCCTTTCCAGGGAGGGTGGACTAAAGCAGGTAGCCTACATCCCCAGTGAATTTATGTTCATGTTGGTAGACGTTAAAGCTGTTAGAACTGAGAAGGTTGGAATACAGGAGAAGAGCAGGGCCTTGGATTCTGACACAGAATCCTTAAGAACCACAGCTGGGAGGAAGGGAAGCCATAGGCCCTATGGAGCAGGAGACTGAGGAAATGGTTCGCTACAGTCAGGCTCCAGCAGTCTCCTCATTGTGTGTGGTAGAGGGTGGAGAGTGAGGCGGGGGGGGGGGGGGGGGGGGGGGGTATGTTCTGGAACCAGGTGACCCATGAGAATCATCCTAGTTGGGGATGGGAGCGGGGGTCGAGCTCGTAGACCCCAGTGCTGGCCTAGAGAGTGCCACTTTTTGAGCCAGGCATAGCCTGTAAGATCAGCTTCCACATAGAGTCCTGCTTTGCTTGCCGTCTCCAGATGTGTGGCCGAGCAGGAGGAAGGGAGTCTTGGCATCTGTAAAGCAATAGTCATGACAGTATCCTTCCACCCTACTGACTTGGAAGCATTAAATGAGATATATTTAATACACAATATTGTATACATGTATGAAACTGTTTCTGGTGACTTATACCTAGAATCTCAGCACTTGGGAGGTAAAGGCAGGAAAACCTGGAGTTCAAGGTTATCCTTAATTATACAGCGAGTTCTAGGCCAGCCTTGGCTACGTGAGATCCTGCCTTTGAGGGTCTTTGAGAACAAACAAGAAAAGATAATAAATTTGTATGAAGTCTTGCTACTATTACTCTGTGATACATTTTTGTTGTTGCTGTTTTTGTTTTGTTTTCTTCCTAGTTGTTAACATGGCCTCCAGAAACATCTTCAAGAGCTTTTGATCTCCTCTGGGATCTCAGCATAGATGGACTATTCCGTCAGCCTGGTAAGTACCAGGGTGCAGAGTGTGTACTCACACACTGGAGCCTGTCTCCCTACCCCCACCCCAGCCCGGCATGCTGTGGGGACATGCGTCACCTGTGATGGAGACATCAGGCCGCACATCTTTGGCTCCGACTCCAGTGTCTTGACAAACAGCCAGCAGGCTCCTTGGAACCCCCACCAGGCTGTGGTCCAGTTCTCAGTGACCAAATCCAGGCTGACCTCACAGCCTCCTGGGATCCCTGTACCGTTCAGAAAGGACAGCTTGTCATCCAAATCCTTCCAGGGACCCAGGAGGGAGAGCGGCAGCGCATCGGAGTTGCACTTTGGCCTGGCGTCACCAGGAAGGAAGCTCAGAGCTGCTCCCACCCCGTGCTCTCCTAACGGCACCTCAGTTGAGTGACAGCCTCCGGTCTCTGCCTTGGCTGGGGCATTTTGGGTATATTTGACTCAGCATTCCAGAGAAGCGTTTCATGTCCTGCTAGTGGCTACACCTTCCCCGGATGCCATCATTTGGTACCTGAACCTAGACACTTGGGCACCAAAAATTGTTATGTAAGCAGTTGGAAGGTGCTTACAGCTGGCAGGGAGGGACTCTCAGAGGACTGGACTCCACCTTTGTCCAGCCATTACTCCTACCCCAAAGCACGCACGCACACAGCTCTGAGGGCCAAGGTTGAAGCCCGTGGTACCCCAGAGCCCCCGGCCCTTTGAGTGTCTGCCTTGTATTCTTCTGCTTCAGGGGTTGCCAAGACGGAGCCATCTGTCAAATCAGAGCGTTCCAGACGCCCCCGTGGGCCCCTCACTAAGGCTTCTCAGAAGCCACCAGTCCGAGCGTGTTCTTCCTTTTCGTAACCTCTGCCCCTGTGGCCTGTGTAGCCTTTTGCGGCCTCAGGGCCGCCTCTGCAGCATGCCTGCCCTTTTGGAAACAGAGGCCTTCCTTGTCCACGGCTCTCCATGCTGTGCTATGTGTCTCCTCTACTCTGCCCTCCTCCCCCCAGTCAGGAGGGCTACAAAGTAGCTCCTGGGTTTCTGGTTCTCTGCTCTGGTTCCCCCAGCTTCAGAGTGTGTCCTTAGATGTCACCTTTGAGCCCAGATGGGTTCTGTCCCCTGCTAAGTAGAATAAAGCCTGGCCTAGAGAATTCCCTGTCTGAGATGAGGATCCCCACTGACTTAGTTAGCCTGAGCCACAAAAGAACTAACTTAAACAGGTATCTGCACACCTGTGTTCACCATAGCGTTGTTCATAACAGACAAAAGGTGGAAGCGGCCTACGTGCCTGACAGATGAGCAGATAAACAAAATATGACATATCTGTATGTATGTATGAGGAAATACATATATATGGTGGACAGAGTAGGCATGTGACGGGAGGAAGGCAACTCTGACACACGCTGCAGTACAGATGAGCCCCAGAACCCTTATGTTACTGAAACAGAACTGTGGCAGAAGGACAGGCACCTTGATCCCACTTGCATGCCATCCCTCAAGAGGGGGGGTTCATAGAGCTGTAGCCACCAGGGGCTGAGGAGAGAGAGGGGAGTTGTTCAGCAGCTTTTGGCTTGGGAAGCTGCTCATGGCCATGCAGCAGTGAGGGTGTAGGGCCACTGCCCTCACAGGCCACAAAGCCTCCTCCTGTCTGCAGCATGTTTGACTGCCTAGCTGCACCCCGACACAGGAGACATATAAAGGTTAATTTAAATCCAGGATAGCTACAAAAGAAGCCTTGCTCCTCAGGTTCACGTAGAGCCTGGAGGCCCTGGGGCCTTTGTGAGGACAGCAGAGCTCAAGGCAGAACTGTAGGACTGCCTTGCCTTCACACCTGTCTTCTCCACACCTCGGTTCCTGTTCCCTGGGGTGTGCTCACTGATGGCTCTTCTCTGACTGCCTGTCCTGTGGAAGGTCTTCTGCAGTCACTTTTATCCCAGCCCACTTACTGAGTCTGGAGAGTAGCGCACAGTTTCAGCATGTCCTGTGACGGGAGTTAAAGACTTGAGCACTCCAGGTAGGCTGATGTATAAGGGCAGGATGTGTTGAGAAGCAGCTGGTGATGAACTTGGAGGATGGAATATTCTGGAACTTAACTAGTCTTTACCTCAGGGAATATTCACTATCCACTCACAGATGCCTGGAGGCCTCCTGCATTAGGGTCCAGCTGGATGGCAAAGGGACAGGATGACTCAGGCCAGCCCTTGTCCTCAGAAAGCAGATGACCAAGGGGAGGGCAGGGAGCCAGCACCTACCATCAGAGGAAGAGGAAGCAGAGGAGGGGGACTGGACTTCCAGCTGGGTGTGGCTGGCCTGCAGGAGCCAGGCCCCAGGAGGCTTTTGGTCACCTCTGGAAACTGCATGGGGCAGGATTGCACACTCACTTGCCAGGAGAGCACGTGAGCCCCCAATGGAGTGCCTGCCCTATCTGAAGGGTCCACCCACACAGGTTGGGTCCAGGTCAGTGCATGCCATCACACAGCCTTCTTGTTGTCAAGGCATTTTTTCATTGAACTGTACCTTGACTGTTAGTGGCATGACAGGAAAACCACAGGTAGCTGGTTGTGTGTTCTCTGCAGCATCGGGTCTCTGGTTTCTGTGTCCACCTTTTCTGTTCCTTCACCTCAAGGCTCCAAAATGGCTGCCATAGGATTATCTTGCATTACATGTTCTCATGAGACAGGGTTCAAGGCTGAAAAGAGAGGGCTCAGTGATAAACTGTCTGCCTAAGCAGGAAAACCTGAGTCTGATCCCTACACGCAAATTTAAAAAAGGCAAAGTTGAAACACGGCCACAAGAAGAGTCCTCCACTTTGCATGAATTTCTCTCTGTATGTGCGTTATTTACCTTGCTGTTGCTGTGATTAAATACCGTGTCCAAGACAGCCTCTGGGAGAGTTTTACTTGGGCTTATGGTTGCAGAGAAATGAGTCTGTCATGGCAGCCAGCGGCAAGCCTGGCAGCAGGAAGCTGAGCACTCACATCTTTTTTTTTCTTTTTTAAGATTTATTTATTTATTTATTATGGATACAGCATATGTGACTGCAGGCCAGAAGAGAGCACCAGGCCTCATTACAGATGGTTGTGAGCCCCCATGTGGTTGCTGGGAATTGAACTCATGACCTCTGGAAGAGCAGTCAGTGCTCTTAACCTCTGAGCCATCTCTCCAGCCCCGAGCACTCACATCTTAACCCCAGCACAAGGCAGAGAGGGAAGTGGGGTGAGACTGAACTCTCAATGCTCCTCCCCGTGACCGTGACTGCTTCTTCAGCAAAGCTGTGTTATTTCCTCTACAAGTGTCCAAATGCCTGCGCTATAGGGGCCATTCCTCATTCAGACCATCACACATACTCCTTTTCTTGATTGCGTGCTTGCGTGCGTGCGTGCGTGCGTGCGTGCGTGCGTGCGTGCGTGCGTGCGTGCGTGCCTGTGTGTGTGTGTGTGTGTGTGTAGGCGCTGGTGACGATGTACCCACCACTGCATGGTCACGCAATCCCCGCCTTAAAAAGCCAGACGTGGACCCCCATCTCTCTGCGCTCTCTGCTCTGTGTTCTCTCTCTGTTCCCTGCTCCACTCCCTCCCCGGCCAGGCCTGGCTCCCCTCCTATCCCCTACTTTGTTCTAATAAAGCTCTTTGTAACTCTGGCAGTCGTGGCCGTGGCTGTGGCCGTGACTTTTCCGCCAGCACCAGGGCCGTTTCATTACCACCGAGTGCTGGATTAAAGGTGTGCCGCATTACACCCGGCTGACACGGACTTTTTGTTTGTTTGCTTGAAGTTTTTTGAGATATGGTCTCTACATAGCCCTGGTTGTCCCAGAATGCACTCTGTAGACCAGTCTGGCCTTTAAGTCACAGAGATCCACCTGCCTTTGCTTCCTGAGTGCTGGGATTAAAGGCATGTACCACCACTGTCCAGGAAAGTCATTTTTTTGTTGTTTTTTGTTTGTGTTTTTCAAGAGAAGCTCTCTCTACATAGCCCTGGTTGTCCCAGAATGCACTCTGTAGACCAGTCTGGCCTTTAAGTCACAGAGATCCACCCGCCTCTGCCTCGGGTTTGCTGGGGTTAAAGGCGTGCGCCACCACACCCAGCCCACCAGGACATTCTTTCCACCTTGTTTCGCTGTACAGAACTGGGCCACAGGCTTCAAAGGCTGCTTGCCATATTTTCTGATTGTCAATGCCCTTTGAACATCTTGGCTGTGTGTGGAGTTTTCAGTCTCACAAAGCTGACCCTCTAGGACAAAACCCAAGAAGCCCATTTCCCCAGCTTCTTTTCAGATACTCTTTTTTTTTAGAATGAGTCCCCGAACTGTACAGTACAACAAGGCTCCCTGTTTGTACAGTCTTGCCACTGTGTTAACTACTCTGAGGCTCCAGAGATAAGTCTGAAGACCATGGAGGGATGCACTAGGTACATGATTTGAAGACTATGAGAAGATATGCGGTGTGTGTGGCTTCTTTGAATTGTTGTCATATTTTGTATAAGGGACCCAAGGAACCTCAGATTTTTGGAGAGGGTCTTGGAACCAACCCCAGGATTCCAAGGGTGGCTACATTGTCTGAGCATACTTATCCCAATAGCCTGTATCTGTACCTCTAATATCTGGTCAACTAGTTCCTTAGGTGACCAAGTTGGCAGAGAAGTAACTATTTAGACAATACAAAGAAACAGCAAATGCTAGACCCTGGGAGGCTCAGCCTAGATGTCCTCGGATCCCTGTCCAGAAATGCTTGTGATGACACGTGCAGCCCTAGTTCTGGCTAGATGTGCCTCCTCTGCGGGACCTTCTGGCAGGAAATAGCCTGGTTTCTGGCTGTATGCTCAGGAATAGCCAGAGCTGTTTCTGCAGACTGTGGCTCAGAGACCTGGCTGCTGCTGAGGCCTCCAGCGGCTCCTCTGCTAAGGTGCAGGGCGGTCTAGATCTTACCACAGGGCGGACATGCTGCCCTGAGCAGACAGCAGCACAAACGGTGCTCCCTGATCAAGGAAGAAGGGCGTGGCTGTCAGCTCAGCAGCCCAGAACCTGCTGCTGTCAGACCTGGACATTTTCAAGTATCCTTTCTGTTGTTGTGATCAAACACTCACCAAAACCAAGTTGGGGAGCAAAGTGTTTATTTGGCTTGAATTTCCAGGTCACAGCCCATCATTGAGGTAGGTCAGGGCAGAGTCAAAGCAGGAACCTGGAGCTGGCTGGCTGGCTGTAGACTCACTCACTGGTGCGTGCTTGGTTAGCTCAGCCATCTCTGCTGTCTGCCTACAGAATGCTTTGTTATTCCCAAAGAAACTTTATACCCACCCGTTGGCAGTCAGACCCTTCCCAGTATACCCTTCTGGCCAGTTCCTGGCAACCTTTAATCTACTGTCTCTTTGCCTACTTGACATAAAGTTAGTTAGTTAGGTTTTTTTTTCTTTTTGTTTCTTTAGGAATCTTATGTATCCCAGACTAGTCTGTATCTGAGACCAGTCTTGAA